AAAAAAGTATTGGTTAGTATACCTTTGTCAAATTATATGTAATAACAAGAACTAGGAATTTGATGATGATGTGATTAAATAATCAAATTTTAAAGTTTGTTATATTTACTGGTTTTAAAATGTGATATTGGAATTCAGCAATTATTTATTTTTTAATTAACTTTTCTAAGTGATATCTAACAACCATGAAACTAAAACATATAATAACATAACGCGTCTTTCTGCATTTTTGTCTCCCTCTCTTCCCTTTATAACCCAATATTACAAAAATACCCCCCTTCCCCCGTTATATTACAGAAAACAACTTTATTACACGAAGAAAGGGGAATGATGTTAAGAATTCAAATTCAGACTTTCAGATAGTTGTTCTTTTTAGTTTCGTAGTTATGTTGTTTGCCTTTTTTATGCATATTTTTTATAATTTTCCTAAATATCCAAATAGATCTATTCAATTCCAGAAAGTTAGACTATTTTAATTTTTTTTACTTTTGTCATGAAATAACTTATTAAATAAAAAACATAAATTAAAAATAAATTAAATACTAATATACACTATTTATAATAATAAGCGATAAATATCGACATATAAGCCTACATAATAAGTTTAGTTTAAGTTATTTTTAATGTTCTAATCTATATAAGAAGCTAATGTCTCTCCGTCCGCGCCCCCCAATGGCACAGCGGTATGTCTGCGGACTTACAACGCTAGAAACCGGGTTTCGATACCTCTTTGTGTAACTTTGTTCTTAACTACAAACAAATAAACAACCCTCTGTCCGCAAAACTTCTCCCACAGTTTAAGTCCAATTTGGATTAAACTTCGTACGATTTTTCAACATCATAGGAGGAAGTTCCCAACAAAGTTTCGTTAAAATTGGGTCTCTTATAAAAAGGTTTATTTAGTGCATGTGTCCACTGTTTGTAAATGAAATAAGTCAATAACAGCTTTATATCGCACCAAAATGAAAAATGTTATAAAATAGACTTTCGCTAAAATTAGAAAAAAATAATAGGACCTTATTTTACAAAGAAAAAAATCTTGAACCGCTTCTTTAATAAAGAAATGATACTTCTTCTCTTTTTTAATGTCTACATTAATTTTGTACATTTATTATTATCAACGAAATTAATTTTTTAATAAAACTTTAAAAATTGTGGTAAAGTGAGCGTATAATTTAAAAGTGAGGCTTCCTAGTGGAGAATCATTGTGATATTTCAGAAGAAAGATGACTTTTTTTTCCGCTGGAGAATCGAAGCGTACGCTGTGAATTGAATTGTTCTGTAACCCAAGTAATCGCAAGTCCTTCGTACGGGAGTTCGTTGCATACAGATTTCCAGGAATTTTGTAATAACTCGATCTTCGTAAGTTACACACGTATTTTTTTAGTTCAGTATAAGTATAAAGTGACCAAAACATCAAAAATCACGATGACAAAAATTGCTAGACGGAAAAGTGACTTATCACGGAGAAGGTCTGAAACTCTGAGAAAGAAAATGAAACATCGGGATGCAAATTACAGAAACAAAGAGCAAAAAGATATAGGCTTGCTTAAAAATGGCTAGTGCAGATAGCCTGTGAGTGAGTAGCTTTGCGCGAAATGCAAAGTAAACCAAATATATCTTTGAAATGCCCTTTTGATTATAGAAGGCAAAAGGCTCGCTTATTATATGTGGGCGTGTGTGGTTTCTGCTTTCTTTATTTTTATAGATATTTTAAATATTTTTCAGTTGTCTAGTTCCATATTGTAAAAGTGGCAACGTGTGGTCCAGAAAGTCATTGAGATTACTATATTGTTTTCAATAGTAGGTAATGTCTTCCATAGGGATATATAGTGCGAGGGTTAAAAAATATTTGTTTGATCATGACATTGACTGAATACAACAGTCAACCAGTGCTGTGAGAGAACAAAGGTCACGAGATGATACCATCAATTAGACAAAGTGTCGCTGTTGTCTTTTGATTGATGGCTGTGGATGCCTTGAGGTCTGTTCGGGTTTGTGGTCTAATTGTTGTTCTGTTCTTGTGATGGTTGCAGCTCTAACAATCCAATGCTGGAGATTTCCCTGAACTTTTCAGTGGCATCAGGGCCTTCATTAACCATTGTTGACAGCTCAGCCCTAACAGACATTAGTGTCAACCCACTGAATTATTCAGCAAGTTCTCCCAAAGCAGAATCTTTGGCAAGAAGTATGTCTTCATTCATGAGTTAACTAATTATAAACATTAACCTGGAACTCTGTCTCATCAACAACTTTATGTCCCTCACTTAGAGGAAATACTATGTGTCTTGGAGCAGCTGTGAGGTTTCAAAGTTAAATGAGGAATCCATCATAGTTCAAGTAAAGAAAACCTGGAACAAGGCAAGAAAACCATAGGCTAGTCTAGTGGTTCCCAACCTTTTCACCACCAAGTACCCCTTATATTAATACGTTTTTCCACAAGAACCCTATGTTTTGAAAGATTCCGTCTATCCAACAAACTGTTTTTATTAACTAATAATTAACTTGTTTTCCTATATTTCATTATCAAATAAAATACATATATAACCGAGTGTGCAAACAACGGCCAGGCTTCTTTAAGTGTTTAATTTGATGTCGCCAGTTTTCTGGGGCAAGTTTATCTGAGTACGTACCTTACACAAATATATAATAATTTCTAAATGATAGGCGATGGACAGACCTTTCCAAACGTATATAATATGTTGAGTTTGTGTCAAGTTTTCCCAGCAAACTAAGGAAATAAACAATGGTGGGGTGTTAAAAGTAGCATGTCGTCAGCAGAAAAATTTATTTTCAAAGTAATCACACAAACACAAAAATTGTAAGTATGATTCAAGAAAGAATAAACTAATTTTATTTAAGAAAGGACTTGTATTGCTAAAGTTTCATCGAAAGAAATTATACGGGAAATTAACAAACGAATACAGAGACGTAACAATACTTTTCTCGCCATATTTAGTTTCCATCATGTGCAGATGATTTGGGTAGGGTGGATTTGAAATGTATTAGTCACAAATTAGCTTATTTTCCTGCAAGAAAAGTTCTTGATGCTGGGATTACATAAGAGGCGTGTATCTTTTTAACTGCATAACCAACATTCAAGCTGTGTGAGCAGGCCTGCCGACGGGGGGTGGGTGGGTGGGGGGGGGGTGGACGA